GGCGGGCTGGGGAGGGCCAGGCCTCCCGGAGCCCGGAGCCCCCTGCCCCGCGCTCGGCCAGGAGGAAAGCGCTGGGGTGGCCGGAGCCACCCAGGCTTTTAGCTACCCGGGGGAGGACGCCCCACGGGCTCCGGCGCAGGCCGTTTTGGACCGTGGCCCACACCAATCCCGGCGTCAGGTCCCCCGCTCCTGCCCCGTTCGTGGTTGCAGAAATCCCGGCGCAGCTGCTTTGGGTGCCGTCGCGGGCGGCGGCGCTCAGTTCTCTCCCCCCAGTTCTGTCCACGTGCGTGACCGGAAAGCCTGAGCGCGCCCGCACACGCAACAGTTACGGAGCAGGCAGTTCTCCGCTTCTAAAATCGTCTTTGCCAAAGTTTCAAAATCCTGACAGGGGTCCATGGGCGCTGGAGAAGTCTGAGCCTTGTCCAAAGCCCACTGAAATAACTATGAGTTTTTCCATGGCCTTCATCCTCTAGATCTGAGCCAAAGTCAACGCTTTTTTTAGAGGACAATGTATATTTATGGAGGAGATCCTGCATGACTGGCCAGGAGAGACACCGGTGAGCACAGGGCTCAGGAAAGAGGCTGTATTAAGCCCCAATACTGAATTCTGGGATTTCCCTCACGCTGCTAGAACAGAAGGCTTCGATAGAGCTGGAGAGTACCAATTTTTCTGCATTTACCTACAAACACAGCGGCAGCCCTCTGCAGAGACGGCCAAGAGTTCTTGAGGTAATAGCGGCTCTGGAACGAGAACGTCTGGGCGCTTTCTCCTTGTTTCTTCACTTAAGACAGGAAAAAACCATATGAGATGGAAGCCAAGCAAGAGGGATGAGCTTTTATAATTCCTGGTGACCCTACGTACAAAGTGCTGAGTGAGCGTAACATCTTCATTTGTCACCAAGCATATCGCAATGAAGCCCAGCAATCGTATACGACATCCTTGCGGATTTCCTTCACATCCTCTTGATGGCTGTGCCAGGCTGCATGCACCAGCACGGGTCTGGATCATGCAGGATGCTGAATCCCCATAGTTCCTACTGACTTCGTTAATGAGGTACGGGTCATGTTTTTGCTTAAGCCCACATCATCCTGTACATACAGTCAGAACGAGCTCTTCTTTCAAACCATATTACCCCTTGGCTACCCAAAACCATGTGTAGCGCAACTGAAATCATGTTGGGTAATGCTATGCAGGTGAGGCATATGAACATCACCCCAGGCACAAATCTTTTTTCATATGCTAATGCAGAGCCTAAACTGTTTCACATGGCTACAACACATTCACCAGGACATGGCCCATGACACACAGGGGGACAGGGGCTGCCAAAAACGTTCTCCCATGCCCATGAGTAGTTAGGGCCACCTGCAGTTTTGGAGCTGCTCCTCATTCCCCTGTCCCTGGCACAGCACTATTTCCTTATGTTGCCAAAGAGGAGCCTGCAGTGTCTGGTGATGCAGCTGCTGTAACTCGCTCTCATCCAGGCCACTCAGGATATTCCCGACATTGGTGAGCACTTTCAACACCAACCTCCCATCCACTCCCTGCAAGCTTTTCATCATTGCTGGCACCAGGCCCCTTGTTGTCCTGCACAAGAGAAAGGTCACTGACTCCCTGATGCAGCACCTGCCCAGGTCTTAGGACCAAACACAGCAAAAACAAGACAGCTCTGGTGACAACACTTCCCTGAAAAAGCTCCTAGGAAAATAGCAGTTTCCTTTAAAAGAGACATTCAAGTGAAATCATAGCAGATTGCTTTCCGTCCTGTCTCCTCCTGGAGTTCATTTCTTGCTCGCAAGCTCAGCATAACGGCAGTGTGCTGCGCCCGGGGGAGAGAGGAGACACACGGGAATGCAACAAGTAAACAGCAGGTGGGACCTAGGGAAACACTTTTGTTGCGCTTATCTCCTTGCTACAGCAGTGAGTGACACCTTCTCAAATTTGAAAGTCAACAATTTAAAGAAACTCAGTATCATGTCTCTTCCTAGGAAAATAAGGCAGCCAAAAACAGCTGATGAAGAGGTGTGGAGATAAAAGTCTATGTACAACAGAGAGGACTGGGATGGTGAGGCAAATACTATTCCGATTAGAATTTATCCAATGAGATGCAAACATTTCTTTCTTACTCTAATGCATGGCTTTAAATATAGGCAGAAGGTGCGTGTGAGTGACTGCCGCCTCCTCAGGGGTTCAACAGCAGTTGGAGGTACTGCCTGCAGCAGCTCTGTCCTGACAGAGTAGGATCTGTTTCAGATCCATCAGCAGCAGATCTGCAGGGCTTTGAAACTGGCCAAGAGAAATCTAGAGCGTTACTGAGCCCTCAGGTGTAATAACACCGGCTTTTCTCAGGTAGCAAAATGAACGCAACTTCACCTTTCCAGGCCACTTCACGATGGTTATCAGTCCTTTGACACACAGTGCCTGCATAACTGGATCACAATCTGCAAGTCCCTTCACAAGGCGAGAGACTGAATATTCCTGTGGGAGCTGCTTTGCCTCCGGCATATGGAGGAGCTTTAAAGTAAAAAGAAAAAAAAAAACAACAAAACCAAACCAAAACACACAACCCAATGAGCATGTCAATATCAAGTCAGAAAACAGTTAATTCCTTGTCTGGCTTGATTTTTTGGGTGGGTGCCACCATCGGACTGCTCTGCACAGTTTGCTGTGAATGCTCCAACACATGTGATGACAACTACTTATGTCTCCTACGAAGAGAGGCGTGGATCTCCTTCCATGTGCACATCAGCTGTACGAGCAAGCCTCCTCTTCGCATGACAAGGAAAAGCCTGCAGGCTAAGTAGAAACAGCAAGTGCAGGTGGGCTGAGAGCAGGAGTTGAACCACATGCAACCTTGCAGGAGGAATAAGCAGTTTTGTACACTTGCAGGAAAAACACATCAATTAGGGTTTTTTGTCCCAGCGGCCAAACTTCTCCAACAGGAGGGAACACAAGGAGACCCGTGTGTGCACAGCCCCCTCTGGAACTTGGCCTCCTGAGTCAGATGCCAAAAATTAGGCAGCCCTGTTTGACAATTTAGAGCTGATCATAAAATGTATGTACATAGCCAGGCCTACCTCTGAGGAAATAAAGCACAAGACTAATGCAAAGGACTCCAAGATCCCAGTTTGGGCTGTGCTGTAAGCTCTCCTGGCGGAAGAGGGAGCTCAGTTTCCACATTGGTAAAGCGCTTATCTCTAGCAATGCTATTCCATGTCACAAATACTACGAGACTCCTGGAAGGTAAACGCTGTAGCAAGGCAAAGCATGTTTGCTGTTTCCTCTGCACTCATCATTTCCTGGAATTTCTCCAATTTCACAGAGCATTCCCCAGCTTCCACCCAGCTCGGTTAATCCAGGAGAGCAGATACTGAGTTGAAGGTCAGGGGGTTTTCCAGGAAAGAAGAGCCAAAGCTAGTACTCTTCCAAACCACAAAAATCTCATGTTGAGCTAATGAACCTCACCTCAACAAAAAAGGCCATCGCTGTGATTATGAGCTGCTTGTCCCCTTGTTCAAGGAATGGGACCAGATGATACAAGATCCTCCAAAGCTCACAGCAATTGTAGTGGACCATAGCTCTTTGACAGCAGATAAATGTCCTTTTTGTTCTTGGGGAAAAGTCACTGGGGTTTTTCGAGAGAAGGAATAAAAGAACACAATTGCAGGCAGTAAATTACCTTGCAAGCAAGGTCACACCACGCTAGTGATCTTTGGGACTGGCGAGCATGTCCCAGCCTCTCTGCTTCTCCACAAAGGTGAATTCATAATGGCACCCCATCTTTAGGAGAAAGGTCTTGACTGCTTCCACCATACAGCTGTGAATCGAGAGCAGCACTAGCAGAAAGGGATCACACCAGCCCTGACCTCCTCTGGCTGAATATCACCACAGCATAAGGCAGGTCTTGAGAGCAACGTGTTGACCACACTGATGGAACAGACCCTACATAGCACGTACACATTTACAAAGCACACTGTGCCCAGCGTGGCAACGCAGCCACACCACAGGAGGCTTTCAGCAACAGGTTCAGGCAGGCATCTCCTGCGGGGGTGGCAGATTGATCCTGCCTTGGACAGGGAGGAGGACTAGGTGGCCTCTTAAATTCTGGGAGAACATGGTCTACTACAAAGTCCTCAGTGACAGTGGCACAGTTGTTGCTTGTGACCTCTAGATGCAGCAGATCCAGGAGCTGGGGCTAGTCCCCATGGGGCTAGACAATTCTCTCTGCAAGAGTTCATGCCCCAAGGCAGGATGGCAAAGTCAGGGTAAGTATCGCACGGAGATGACACCAGTCAGTGCCGCTGGGATGGGTGTTAGCACGTCATCAAGCAAGGCATGGCTGCGTGCTTGCGGGAACGAGGCTGAGGAGGATCTCTCTCTGTCCCTGCCTTTGGGATTTCTACCTAGGCCTTTGCTTGTTGGAGATGGTGGAGACCCACCATGGACCACACAGGGCAGCACAGCTGGCGTGAGTTTTAGGGTAACAACATGGCACTTGCTGGGAGCTGTGACAAGGTGAAGGTGCCACCATTGCAAATTCATGGGGGCGGGAGCTGTCACGAGAAAGGCACGCTTGGCCGGGGACAAATGGGAAAGGGCCCAGACCACGAAGCCAGCAGCAGGCACATGGGGCAGAGCTGCTGGGAACACACGTCCTGCTGTCCCTTGTCCTTCCTCGTCCTTACCCTGTGGCGAGGAGTCCCCTCTGAGAGCCCCAGCTGTCCGGTGCAGCGAGCCTTGTGCTGTAACGAGTCTGGACCAGCAGGGCCATCAGCAGGCAGGGGAACAAGCGGAAGGTGACTGCACTCATGCCTTCGTGCACAGACAAGACTTCGCACACAGTGCTGGCTGCCTGGGGGAGGCAAACACATGCGTGCAATGCTAAAAACCCTGCATGCCTTCCTTGTCAGCTCAGGGGCCCCTTGCTCAGAAAAGGGCCGTCAGAAGGGCTGGAGATTCACCCATCCCTGCACAGGGTGTCGTCTCCAAGGATGGGAGAGCACTGGCTGGTGGGTAGAGCCTCAGATCGGGGAGCAAAAGGCGACAGCTGGGACACAACATTTCATAGGAAGAGAGTACATGGATGGAGAAGGGGAGCGTTCCCACAGGGGTGCTGTCCTGTCTCTCTCCTGCAAAAATCACTGGCCAGATCCCCTGCTCTGGTGCCTGCACCGGCTCTCCTCTAGGTAGACGGGAATATCCTGTCAGAAAGCTCTTCACGACTGCGGGTGGAGTGGATGCTTTCTCCCCTATGGTGCCCAGCTGCTCCTGCAGCCTCTGCAGCAGGATGTTCATGAGGCGGTGGATGTCAGGGACTGCTCTGGCCTTGATGAGAGCCCTCTTCATCCCAGCAGCATCCCTGCAGGGTCAGGAAGGCCATCACACAAATGGGTACTCACAGTGCTGCGTTCCCAGAGAGAGAGAGTCTCCCTCGGTCAGTCTGGGTTTAGAGAAAGCGGATGTGTTTGGCTAAAAGGGAAAGAAGCTCAGATCAGGCAGCCTTTTGCTGAAGGGGTACAGGCAGGGCGCTGAGACGCAGAAGGTGACTTGCCCTTGCAGAGCTCAGCCCCATGCCCGAGGGGTGCAGTGCAAACCCAGGGCAAGGCAGCCACAGCCTCCTACGTGAGACGTGCTCTAATAGAGCAGCGCTTTAGCCCAAGCCCACAGCAAAGCCCCTGGACACGCTATGATGAGGGAGGGTCAGATCCATGCAGATCATTAACAAGAGCTCGGCCACACACCTTGGGAAGCCAGGCCCACGCAGCCACGTGGCCAGCCTTTGCTAAGCAGTGTGGCTGTGTACCCCTCCACACCACGCAGAAAGGCACCCGGCAGATCCAGCATCCCCCCGGGGTGCTCAGCATTGCATACCTGAGGTTGGCAACGAGCAGGAATCCTTGGCAGCGCGCGGTGTTGGCAGAGACATCCCACAAGCAGGTCATTCAGGTGCTCCTGCGAGTCTGGAGAAGGCCAGCGTCAGAGAACAGATCTCCCAGCTCGGGCACCCGCCTTAGCCCCCCTCTTGGCGTCCACGACAAGGCATGCAACTCCGCTCCTCTGCCAGGAGCCCAGACTCGGCGAGAATAAATCCAAGCCCGACACCTCCAGGTATTTGGTGACCACCTTTGTTTGCAAGCAGCAGATTGCTTTGCAATAGCCAGAGATGCGTCTGAGCTCTCTCCGTGAAACACTGCTGTGTTCTTACCAGATCTTACCAGGACCTGGTGGATAAGTGTGAGCTTCTGGTTGTAAAGGTAGGCAGTGTCCTGGGCCTCCCTGCTGGCTCCGTCATTGCTTTCCTTCTCCAGCCACAGAGCCACCTTACCCAGAGAGGAGAAAGGCTCCCACCAGTGCCTGTGGGTTCCCACACAAGACCAGGGAGAGATGCAGGCACCACCTCAGCAATGGGTTTTCCCTCCTTCCCCACCTGCATCAATCCACTCCCTAAGACTGCTCATCTGCCTGCTTTCTAAACCTTTCTGAGACCATAGAAGTCCCAAATGCCCTCCATCTGCCTTCCCCATTAGCTCGTGGCTTTGGAAGGGGAGCGTGGGGACTGTTTTTGTCCAGTAAGTCCTTCTGGCCCAAGCATGGCTCCCTGCCAGGACACAGCACTGAGGCCAACGGCTTGTGATGTCTTTTCTAGATGCAGGTCTGCAAGGGGAGGACCGTGGCCTGAGCACGCAGGCATAATCTCTGCTGTCCTAACGGGATTGGCGTGCAGGCTCTGCTCGACATCAGGGCAGAAGGTGCCTAAGGGACCCTTGCTGCCACGTCAGCAGAAGCACGCTCCTGCCTGTGTGTTGCCCTCACTCGCAGCTGCCTCCACTGCCTGCTGCTCCAGCGGCGATGTCTGAATGGCAGCAGAAGGAGGACGGTTGCTGGCAGCAACTTGCTGAAGGGGCTCCCCGGCTGGGAGGGAGTTTGGGGTCCAGCCACCCCCCACCTGAGCCAGCTGGGTGCTCAGTGCCCCCTTCTTCCACCTGGCTGGGGCATGGGCACCTTGGGCTCTGCGCCTCAGCACCCAACTTGGTGGTGCTCCCCCTCCATGTCCCAGCCCTCCCGCGCATCCAGCCAGGGCCCCGCACTCAGCTGCCTCTGTAATCCTGTCCATGCCCTTGGCGCACACGTGAACTCACGCGTGATGTCCTAACTATTTACTGGAGAGCAGCCAATGAGCTTCTTGTGCCATACTGGCATGGC